ACAAATCACCTAGAATGTCACAAATATGATTCACTTTACAACTTTACAGAGGCATATCTACTGGGTAAAGTTAGGTTAACTTTCAACTATTTGTTAGTGGATTCTTGCCTTACTGAATTATAAACAACCCTGAAGGCTTTGGTCAGGCCCCAGAAAAGGGTCTGGGTGAGAGTGAGATTTAATCTATGAGTGTGCCTGAGAGTCACCCCATGTGACTGGAGGATTAGCCACTTGAGTTTTTTCCACCATCAGTGTTATTTATCATCTGTGCTGCTTTTCCTCTCCATTGGCTCCAAAGCCTGAAAGTTAACTGCACATTCAGATATAAAAATTCTTTGCGAAAGAAGAAAAATTATTAGCTTAAATCCTTTAGTATTTGATTTTACTAGATAACAACCCCCAAATCTGCTGCTAATAAAATTAATACAGCAATGTCCTTTTTAAAATCACACTCCTGGCATAAATTGTGTCTGAACATTGGTGAAGCACTCTATTGTCCTTAACGCAGGCCCTGACGAAAAGCCCATGTTGCCTCTAAGCATTCAGTCATGAATAATTAGAACTTGGACCTGTGTGTTTGTGTGTATGTGTATGTGTGTCTTGACATGTACCGATATGCATGTGTTCATTTGCGTGTAACAATACAGACATGCAGTGTAATAAAAATAGAAACAAACATCTTGAATGTGCATTTAAAAGACAAGTGAATGCTTTAAAGGCCTCTTTATCTTCAAAATTTGATAGAATCAGTATGTACTGTTTAACAGTTCCCTTTGGCAACTCTTCAGCCTGATGCTGTGACTGAGTGTCCTGGATGTTGCATCATCGAGGACGTTCTTTGGAATGTGAGGGTGTCAGGATGTGGAGCTTCCTGACATCCTTGCTATGATACAGTCTTGTACTTCCAGGTTTCGGGCTGTCACCTGCCCCTCTGATGATAAGCCATGACTCCCATTACCACTGTAGGGACTCTGGTCACCAAGGTCAGAATCTATTTGGAACTTCGTATCTAGGTAGCTCCTCCCCCATAAGCTCTGCTTCCAGGAAGTTTTTGGGAACAGAGTTGGGACCCTGGAGATGAGAAATTGTCCCTTGCCAAAGTGATGCTTTCTGTCAGTGACACAGGCCCTTTGGTCAGACTTAATAGAGAAGCGTATAGAGCTCAGACTTCACAGAAGAAAATTTTAAGCTAGAGCACAAAGAAAACAGCAATACTTTTGCTTTTAAAGCGCTTTTTATAAATGGGGGAAACAGTAGTCAAACCTCTGAAAAATATCTTCAGTCCACATGCAGTATCTGGTTGCCTACATCTGTAAGATTTGGCTCAGAGTCCTTGCTGGACTCCAGCTCCAAAGTTAGGAGAGTAATGGATGATGGTGACACTAAAGAAAGGAGCCACCTGCTGAGAGAGGAAAGTAGAGAGGAACGGAACCTAAGAAAACCTTACTTCTCTGCCTTTCCTTGGCTCTGATGGGCCCAGTTTCTGGAGTGGCAGTAAAAGATAAGGCCAGAGCTGGCTGGAGGAAAAATCATGAAGAAGTTAGTCTCTGTGAAATTCTCCTACCTACTATTTCCTCTTCATTCCCTCCCCATTCCCATTCTCTGTCCCATTTCCCACAGCTGAGAGAAGCCGCTTCAGTAGACCACTGTCCCAAAGCAGTCTGCATTTAAAAAGATACCCTTGGCTGGGCGCGGTGGCTCACGCCTGTAATCCTAGCACTCTGGGAGGCCGAGGCAGGGGGATTGTTTGAGCTCAGGAGTTCAAAACCAGCCTGAGCAAGAGCGAGACCCCGTCTCTACTAAAATTAGAAAGAAATTAATTGGACAACTAAAAATATATATAAAAAAAAAAATTAGCCGGGCATGGTGGCACATGCCTGTAGTCCCAGCTACTCAGGAGGCTGAGGCAGGAGGACTGCTTGAGCCTAGGAGTTTGAGGTTGCTGTGAGCTAGGATGACGCCACGGCACTCTAGCCCGGGCAACACAGTGAGACTCTGTCTGAAAAACAAACAAACAAAAAAAAGATACCCTCGAAGGCCAAAACCAAAGGTAATTCAGCTGTAATTTGGGGGGATCAGGGTGTTCCTCATGTACTAGGGCTCATGGAATGTGTGTCCCCGCGAGTTCAGGCCAGGAAACAGAGGTCTGTGGCCCTAAGGTTTTCCTTTAGGGCAACAGACTGACCTCTTTAGCATAAATACCCAGCTGTGAGTTGGGTCTAGTGCCAGGCAGGCACTCCAGGCTGTTAATCCCTGAGAGGCATCTACAGCTATGTTGGCACTCGTTCCTCCCTTGAATGACTAAGCTTCAGGAAGGAGGCCCAGTTAAGGCATCAGCAATCGTCCCAGAAATCCAAAGCGTTTTTATAAGACACCATACAACTCCAATTTGGGGTTTAGGGTATAGGAATCTGCTAGAGAGATGTGGCTGGAGAAACAAGAATCTGATCTATCAGGAATGGTGGTTGGGGCCTTTGAAGGCAAGGCCAATGATGTCTAGCAACAAATGCTGAATGATCTGGTAGAACAGATCTTTCTCAGAGCCTCCTCTGGCCTCTGTGAATGTCAGCACACATACACACCTGTAGCAAAAGGACCAAAGAAAGGCATCAAAAAACCAAAAACCCCTAAGAATAAAATTAGAATTCTGTTTGGAGCTGCCCTCGAACCAAGAACATATGCAAAAAGTCAGGACTCAATACAAAAGATCACACTATAGAAGGACAAGGCATTTAAAATGCAGCAACAGAACTCAAGAGACGAGCTAACAGCCTACTTCCACCTTTTCTTGAGTTTGATTATTTTCATTCTGGACCCTGGAGCCTCACTCTTGTCACCGAATAGCTCTGTTAATTCAAATGTATTTTCTCAATTAGCTTTTAAGATTATTCAACAGAAAGGTAAACAAAAAAATGAATTCTTATTGTATTTTTCCAACAAGACTGAGGGTCAGATAACGTCATTATAAAACATCACACTGATTTTTAAAAGGATGGCAAAATAGACTTAATTTAAATTCTACTATATGACTAATTCTAATTCTGCTATATGTATCCTTATTTTCTTACCATATTTAATAACACAGTACTAAAGCTCTGTTTTAAAATATATATTTTTTTGTTTCTGGCAAGTAAATACTGTAAAAAAATTCATTTGCCACTTACAGTGACCCCTTGAAGTGTGATTTGCCCATCAAAGTTTACTTTGTCTACATGGTCCCAAATAAAATATTCAGTATTATTTCCCCAGGGTGCCAATGCCTCAGAGGCATTAATTCTCCTTTTACTCTCGTTGTCAAGGGATCAGTTACTATTAATAAAAGGTCAGTTAGTCCATCTTGAGAACATAGTGGAAACAGATTTAATAGTTTTCCCTCCCAAGACTAGATGTTAACTACCTAAAACATAATTAACAACAGGATGCCAGGATGCCAGTCAATGAGTGTACTTTTTACTTTGTGTCTGGGGAGTTCAGGTGCCTCCAATTTAATAGGGGCCACTGTGCTAGTTATCAAATTGACAGTCTTGACCTGACCTCTAAAAGTGGCTGTAAAACGATGCCTAGTAAATTAAGACAAATGCCAAATCCCTCTGAGGAAACAGGCCTATATCATTACTATGAGACCAGGACTTCACAATAAGAACATAAATACCAGCCTGGGCACGAGGGAAGACGTGTGCTTAGTTATTGTACACACAAGATAACAGTGACTCACTTCATTCAGCATTATGCTTGGCTGGAGATTTTAAATTCCTTTTTAAAAACAAGACTATTGTACCACAGGGTAAAGATTTTATTAACCTCAGTAATGGGATTGAATATGCCAAGGCGTGGAAGCAGAAAATTAGATCTGCTGATCCCATTGCCAAGACAGGGGTTATGGAAAGCTGCCATGGATCACTTTGCTGGGCTTTCCAGTGTTTCAGACACCTGAAAACCCAGGAAGGTGCAGCGGCGAAGTGTCTAGCACCTACAAGAAGAGGTAGTGGAAGTTGTGCTAGATCAGGTCCCAGGCAGCAGAATGGAGTCAGAACAAGGGCACTTAGTATACCTCTGCTATTCCAGTTTTGCAGGAATACTAACCAGGGAGGCAAAGGCACCAAGCAGTTAAGGAAAGAGGTTACTGACCTGGCTCTCTCCCACAGAGGCCACTGCCAAATGGTGCAGAGAAGCCAGCAAGCAGAGTCATTATGATATGTCATCTATGGACAACCAAAATTGGTCAAACAGATCCCTAAAGACAAAATACAAGTCATAAACCTTCATCCTGAATTCTACTTTTTATCAATAGCCAGAAGAGTTCATATGAATCTTGTTCTGTCTGTATTTTCTCCCATGTTTCTTCTTCACTCAAACTTGTCCCTACTTATTTTACTTTCTTCTTTCTCAGATTTATTGCTTCCTGCCCTGATATTTGGGGAAGAAAAAAAAAAAAAAGAGGCTGTGATTTAGTTTCCTGTCAAGACTCAAATTAAATACCTTGCCTCTTTCTCACTAAAGCCCTCCACTTGGCCAATTTTAAATAAGGTGACGGGACGTTAATTCAGAACTCTCTGCCCACTGCCTTCCTCTGTACTGACCCCCAGCCAAACCTGTGGGGATGGAAAGCAAAACGATGAGTGTCCAGACATCTTCTCTGGAGCGTTCTATCAAACTGCACCAACAACCCTAAGCTATCAATGTATATAATCCCCAAGAGACATGGGCACAAGTCTACTCATCTTTCTATAGACAAAAGTTCATCCAGCATTCTTAAGCCAGAAAGGAGCAAGAAGATCTTTGCCCCTCTAGCTGCCCTTTACTATCCATTAACAGTTATCATTCACCAAAACATGGGCCTATCTCCCCATAGGAGAAATCATTGGCATTTACAAACCTGTCACCACTAGGGCTGGTTATATTTCCCTTGACCCAGTCAACCCTCATGATCAAGTTGGTTCCCCTCTTAAAAAAAGATTATTTCTTTCAACTTTTGCTCTGGTCTTTTTCTGCCCTCTCAGGTCATGGATTATATGGGACTTTTGAAATGTTATCCTCCTGGAGGAAAACTAGAGAAGACCAACATGTTAAAGAGAGAACTGCAGCAGTCTATGCGGACTCCATGCTCTCCTTTTCTCTCACCACTGCCATGTACTTGGTCACCTTTGGCATAGGGGCCAGCCCTTTCACGAACATTGAGGCAGCCAGGATTTTCTGCTGCAATTCCTGTATTGCAATCTTCTTCAACTACCTCTATGTACTCTCGTTTTATGGTTCCAGCCTGGTGTTCACTGGCTACATAGAAAACAATTACCAGCATAGTATCTTCTGTAGAAAAGTCCCAAAGCCTGAGGCATTGCAGGAGAAGCCGGCATGGTACAGGTTTCTCCTGACGGCCAGATTCAGTGAGGACACAGCTGAAGGCGAGGAAGCGAACACTTACGAGAGTCACCTATTGGTATGTTTCCTCAAACGCTATTACTGTGACTGGATAACCAACACCTATGTCAAGCCTTTTGTAGTTCTCTTTTACCTTATTTATATTTCCTTTGCCTTAATGGGCTATCTGCAGGTCAGTGAAGGGTCAGACCTCAGTAACATCGTAGCAACTGCAACGCAAACCATTGAGTACACTACTGCCCAGCAAAAGTACTTTAGCAACTACAGTCCTGTGATTGGGTTTTACATATATGAGTCCATAGAATACTGGAACACTAGTGTCCAAGAAGATGTTCTAGAATATACCAAGGGGTTTGTGCGGATATCCTGGTTTGAGAGCTATTTAAATTACCTTCGGAAACTCAACGTATCCACTGGCTTGCCTAAGAAAAATTTCACAGACATGTTGAGGAATTCCTTCCTGAAAGCCCCCCAATTTTCACATTTTCAAGAGGACATCATCTTCTCTAAAAAGTACAATGATGAGGTCGATGTTGTGGCCTCCAGAATGTTTCTGGTGGCCAAGACCATGGAAACAAACAGAGAAGAACTCTATAATCTCTTGGAAACCCTGAGAAGACTTTCTGTCACCTCCAAGGTGAAGTTCATCGTCTTCAATCCATCCTTTGTGTACATGGATCGATATGCCTCCTCTCTGGGAGCCCCCCTGCACAACTCCTGCATCAGTGCTTTGTTCCTGCTATTCTTCTCAGCATTCCTGGTGGCAGATTCCCTGATTAATGTCTGGATCACTCTAACAGTTGTGTCCGTGGAGTTTGGAGTGATAGGTTTCATGACATTATGGAAAGTAGAACTGGACTGCATTTCTGTGCTATGCTTAATTTATGGAATTAATTACACAATTGACAATTGTGCTCCACTGTTATCCACATTTGTTCTGGGCAAGGATTTCACAAGAACTAAATGGGTAAAAAATGCCCTGGAAGTGCACGGGGTAGCTATTTTACAGAGCTACCTCTGCTATATTGTTGGTCTGATTCCTCTTGCAGCTGTGCCTTCAAATCTGACCTGTACACTGTTCAGGTGCTTGTTTTTAATAGCATTTGTCACCTTCTTTCACTGCTTTGCCATTTTACCTGTGATACTGACTTTCCTGCCACCCTCTAAGAAAAAAAGGAAAGAGAAGAAAAATCCTGAAAACAGGGAGGAAATTGAGTGTGTAGAAATGGTGGATATTGATAGTACCCGAGTGGTTGACCAAATTACAACAGTGTGATAGTGTCTGCTTGGTATATTTTCACCTTAGGTCTTATCAAGAGCAAGGAGGTTATATTAATGAAACAATTAAATTCAAATTTGATCCTTTTTTAAAGGATACTTAACAGGCATTGCCAAACGAATAAAAGGAAAAAACAAGGAGGGAAGGTGGGAATGGCATATTTTCAATCTTTAAAACAAAAGGTTGTTACGAGAATTTACACACACAGAGACAGAGGGAGATCTTAGGAGACCCACAGTCTCTTAAACTAAGATCAAATAGAAGAAAGCTTATTAACAAGCAGGATCCTATTTTATCCACACTGCGGATATTGCTGGTATTGTGACAAAACCTACTGATTGAAGGGTCAACTGCAAAGGCAGAAATAGCTTTAAACATTGTTCAAACAATAAGGCTTCCAGAATGTCTGCACAGCAGTAGCTCCAGTCATGGTCTGTGGTTTGAAGTCCTAGCCACCTCACCTAGCTCCCTGCCACACAAAGAGACACTTGTGAAAGTTATGACCAGCAAAAAGCAAGCCAGAGCCTTGGAAACAGACATGTGATAGGGTGGCCATCACCCATAGACTGAAATTGAGTTACCACTAAATTCACCCAGGTGAGGCAGTTTTGTTGTCTAGAATGAATTTATAATGTTCCCCCATTGGTATACTTTTAATATTTGTATAGTTTGGTTAATACACCTTGAAACCAATGACAGCTCCAGCATTGTAGACTTGGTGTGATTATATTTTGGAATAGCTTGTCGCTTGTCACCAAATAGGTCTGCTTTATTAGTTACAGCTCTCGGCAGGAGGGACAGAGGACCCAAAACCACACAGCCAAATCCAAATACCTGGCATGATAGAGAAAAAGCAGGTGTATACTTAACCCAAAGACAGTGTCTGTATTTTAACAAAAACAATAGCAAGCTGGTACAGCTGTTTGTGGTTTGGCCCGACATGCATTTTTTACAAGGATGCCCAGAAACATCTGCCCACACATAGCTGAGGAAGGAAAAATGAACACTGAAATAGTTATTTGCTATTGCTTCCAACTTGTAGTGCAAGTCTGCTTTTGCTTTGAGACACGCCTGTTCAGAGACTTAAATGAGGAAGGAGGAAATATTTGGTGATTCTAAGTCCTAACACTGAGAAACTTTGTAGAAGTGCAGGGAGATGGCCCAAAAGGATATAGATTACATGGAAATGGCTGGGGAAAGTATCACCAATACAAATCTATCAATGATAGCAGTCAAACTTTCCTGCTAAACTGGCTGCACCTCACCCTCCTCGTCCCCCTACACACCTTTTTTGGTGTCCCCTCTGCTTCATCATAGCAAGACCCTTCTGTACATTAACAAGCCTAGATGTTTATACTGTTGGCTTCCAGTGTCTACAGGGGGATGGTTCACAGATGGAAACAGAAATGGTTTGATCTGAAGAGGCTATGATGTTGCCCCAAATCCCACCCCCTGTATTTCTTTATTAAAAATGAAGCTAAAGCCTGGTTACATTTGAAGCAAACATCTACAATATTTTTCCCTTTTAGAGATGTAGCTTATTTAGACATCTATAGTGGTAAGCATGTCCCAAAAGCATCTTACCTTTCTGGACCTTAGCAGACATACCGTGCAACTTCCCCATCCTCCACAGAGGAGGTAATTGAGACCTAGGAGAACAAAGTGACTCACTCAGGTCACACCACTGGAGGATTTCCATCATTTTAGCATGTCTAAGACAGGGCAGGCCAATTTTAGGTTTTCTTATAAGATGGCTATTACTCCCTTCAAAGTACATTTCTAAGGAAGGAACATAGGACATTATTGGCCACAGGGAAGACTTTTTTTAATGTCTGGGATTAAAATATGTGGGGTTTAGGTTTGCCATTATCTTTCCAAACAACAACAAAAGTCCAAATGATTCAGATGCAACCACACCAAGTGCAAACCTGTGCTTTCTATTTCGTGTACTGTTGTCCACATAGTTCTAAATACATGTGCAGGAGATCATAGCTAGTGCATTCCACACTTACTCAGTCTCCCCTGCAGACACACTAAACAATCATACCAACATGTTATGCACTCAACTAGATGATAATAAGCTTTAATCTGAGGACAAGTACAGTCCTCACAAAAGGGCAAGTTTGCATAATAGATACTCAATCAATTCTCTCTCCAAGGGGCCTGCAACTAGGCTATTATTTATAAAACACAACTGAAGAGGGGATTGGTTTTATTCTTAAATCACATGTTGTTAAATCATTTTCTGAACAGTGTGTTCTAAATCAGTCATTGATTTAGTGTCAACCACGTGGAGCACCTCAGCTTAAAGCGACTCCACAAAACTGACACAACACACACACCAATTAAATGGATTTTGTTGAGAATTTAATCATTCAATTTGGTCAACCAGGATGACTTACTGTGGAACTTTGTTTTATGACAGATAGTAGTTTTCCAACTTGATTGAGTCTCTGTATATCCTGGGATATTGTATTTTTAAATGAAGGGCATTTTCAAACTTGTCAACTTCGCTTTTCAGCACTTGAAATCAAGGCTTATGAAATTCTGACTGAAATGAATTTTTCTATTGGGGGACTATGCATGCCAAGATTTACCATTTATTGTTAGATAATTATTATTTATTTGTTAATATTGATTGTTGATTATTGCTCTGACAGCATTGGTTTAGCCCACTGTGGAGAAAACACTTTAGAAATAATTCAGAATCACCTCCTCATAAAATTTAAGTCTTTACTTCATCAAGTTTTACTTTTTGAATTGCTATAAAGAGGGAAGGAATGATCCCAGCAAACACTTGAAGAAGTTTTTTTTTTTCTTTCCATTAATTCCAACCAAGACATTAATGTCCACTTTACCAAAGAAACGTATTTGGTTGGTTTTGAGTTGGTATTTGTTGTTTACCAAAGAAAATATTTCATTCATCAAAAATATTTCTCCTGGTCAACTAAAAAACTGTGATACTTGGGCTTTCTTGGCCATTCATAAGGAAAATGAAAATATCAGGGTAAGGGTGATATTCTCTCATTTAGTGAAACTCAGCAGAAAATACAAATTCACAAGGAACTTGGGGTTTTCAAGAAAGAAAATGATACTTGAAATAGGGCATTATCGTTTAGTCCTACAGCAATGTTCCAACAAGTAGCATCAGGGCTCCTCAGGCTAAAAGAAGCACGGTTTGTTCCAGAGAGAAAATAAGATAAACCCTAATGAAAACTCCTCTCCATTGTTCCAGTTCGTAAGTTTTGTTTTGTTTGGGGGTTGGGGGTTTTTAGTTTATTTGTTGTTTGTTTTGCTTGGGTTCGGTTTGTGATTTTTGTTTGTCTGTGTTTGCTTATTTTGCTTCTGCCTTTGCTACCACTTATGCCCCCTCAATTTTCAGTCAGAAGTGAGATAATAAGATGCCATCCCCCATAGCCAGTTCTTTATGCAATATACTGCTCTAAACAAGCCCCTTGGTAACCCTATTTTAACCAACCACTACCCAATTATAAGTGGCATTCTGGGACCACATGACACCACTTTTCTCCAGCACCAGTGACAGAGCTTGGCTGTGTCCATCACAAGAACAGGTAGGATGGGCCTTGGGGGTGTGGCATGAGGCAAAGCCTTTTGGACACAAATGGTATGTTCCTCATAATGGCTTTATTACTTTGGATCCTATTAAAATATCCCTGCAGCTTGTATTAATAGTAGTGTTTGACCTCTGTAACTCTCTGTTTTCTCATCTGTAAAATGAGGATAATAACAGTAAATATCTTTAAATTCAACAAATACTGAGTGCCTAATATTTCCCAGATACTGTTCTAGAGACTGGGGACAAAACAGTGAACAAATCAGATTTTAAAAATCTGCCCTTGTAGAGCCTACGTTCGAGTGACATTGCAAGTTTACTGTGAGGATTGAGTGAGATGACATTTGGAAAGTACTCATGGCAAGGCCTGACAAAGAGAAGAAACTCAAGACATTATTATTTTTAATTCATCAATTTCACACAGTAGCATTAGGGCTTGGGATGTAAAACTACAGAGAAGTAGGTTTGGGTCCAAGATTAGTGCTATATAAAGATGAAATGAGTTGCTACAGAAGGTAGTTAATTCCCAGTCATTTTAGGACATTCAAAATTAAGCTGGATTACCACTTAATGGGGCAACTGTAATGGGGGTGCAAACCCTGGACGTTGGGGTTAGAATATGATCTTTGAAAAAAGGATATACATGCACTTGGGTTTGGGGGTCGGGGGGAAGAGCACTGATAAGTAACTATGCCTGGCTTGTCTGAGGGAATTTGAACATTCGCTTTGTATATTTGCTTTTAAGTTTGTGCTGAATAAAAAAGCACCAGGTATTTGAGGACATAAAGTTACTATTTTTAAAAAGAATGTTAAAGCTGCAATACAAAGAAAAATATGAAGTTAGTACTATAGTGGATTCGCTGGCAAAGAATTGAGAATGGCTGCAGTCAACACATTGCAGAGTTCCTCCCTGTGGTGGTTACAACTGTTTATTTCTGTTTCATGCCAGTCCAGGAGAAAGCAAAGAGGAAAGTGAATGAGCTAGAATCTGTTCACCTGAATAAGCCGTGTCAGAATGTCCTCCCCAGCCTGCCTCTCACCTGCCCCCCTTCTGCCCAGGTGATCTGTTTGAAGTCCTCTTTGATACCTATGAGGGTATCATGCAAGGAAGAGGAAGTGAAGTGACCAGAGAGCTATGGCCTCTGCAGATTTTTGATTTAGATTAAAATTAGCACCACCTGATTAGGAGCCTAACTGGTGGGGAAAGAAGCCTTCTTTTCAAAGTACAAAGAAAGCAAAATGTATCAAGGAGGCAACCCACAGAGAAACCTTGGTGGAAGAAGTGATGTTCCTGTGGAATCAGCTTCTTCTCCTTCCAGAATGTTGACACCAGATGAATGTTTGGATAGAATTAAGCCTACCCCTTTTTTTTCACATGAGAAAACTGAAACCTAGAGAAATGAAATTATATTCACAGAGCTAGTTAGAAGCAGATATGGGACTATAACTAAAGTCTATTTCCTAGCCTCAGTTCTTTCTCCATTCTTCCACTCTACTGCCAAATTCTATGTATCTAAATTATGGGGTCTTAACCTGGGGATCA